AAATAAATTCAAGTTAGTGAAATTGTAATGATAAGTTTAATAGTTATGGTACTCAATCAAATACTACACACGATAGAAAGCATAGTAATAAATAAGTACCTTTAATTACGTTAAGTGCAGCATGTGAAGGACTCAGTCCCTTCGTTTCTCCCAATAGACTAATGCTCATCGCGTTCCCAGATCCTACATGTTGAATTCAATGTAAATTAGCATAGGAAAAACTCGACATGTTTTGGCATCAAAAAAAAATACTCGATAGATTTTGTTTACCTCCTGGAATAATACCCAATGGGATGTCTATATCTTTTGCATCATCCCTTGTTAAAAGTCCATTTATTACCTCGTGAATTATACCGTCTCCACTAATCATAACTATGGCATCGTACGCGCTCAAATTTAAGTTTTTTGCTACATCCCGCGCGTGGTATCTTTTTTCTGTATCTATTCGTTTCGTCAAGTTACATAACTCAATATGAAAGATTGCATTGGAAATATTCAGGTCGTTGACTTACATATGGCATCTATAGTACATCGAGCTCTCTCAAATATCGGTCGAACTTGATCTTCGTAAATTTTGCTAGCTTTTCCAGTGCCACTGGCTGGATTAATGATAACTTTTAAACGTTTCTCTCTTTTGATACCTAAAAGAAAGATTAGCCATCATTAGAATACACACACATATATCTATATATATCTAAAGAAAATAAATTTAACCTTTATAAATTACAGCATTAATAGCCTCAGCCCACGATTTCGCGCCATCATGATCCGCACGATCAAGAGGTTCAAATATAAATGACTTATGTTTCAGATTCTTGCTGGCCTCTTTCGGGAGAAGACAGTCCACGATGACTTGGAGCGAATTATCGTATGCGACGAAAAGGATGTGACTGCCATAATAATTTGCTTTATGGATGAATTCTATTGATTTTCTTTCTAAAAAAGAACGCGATATTTTCTCTTGTTTCATAATCATAACGATATAAAAATATAACTTACTTGCTTGGCAAAGGATGCCTAAAGGTAAAGCAAGAAGAATATGATTACGCAAAGAAAAAGATACATAATTAAAAAGATGGTTGTATAAAGGAAAAAACGCAAAAATACCAATGCAGCGCACTGACTTTCTGTCCGTTCTCATGCTCCAAATTCAAAAAACCGCCATCAAAAGAGAGTCGTCCTTTAGAATGGCCGAACATATTTCCGACCAATTTCACGTTTAATACTGGTGGTTTCGCCATCCTATTACAAGTGACTCTTGATAAAGTAAGCTCTTGATAGATATGGTCAAGCTCTCGTTATAGTAAAGAATTTTCTCGGAATTATATTAAAATTTCACTTGATATAGTGAAATTATATAATATTCTCTCGATACAAGATATGTAGTAAGGATTTCTTTTTCCCTTGGCCCAATGCCTTTACAATGATTATAACAAGAGTCACTTGTGAATCCAAATTCAAAAAAAGATTTGAATGATTGCATTTCATTGATAGACAGTTTAAAGAGAACACGAGATATTAATTTTATTTTGTTGGATTTGCTGCAACAAACTACGGTCAACAAACTCCACATAAATAATTGACAAATACATAAAGTATAAGGGTATGTATGGGGAATATAATAAGAGAAATACACATATAAATATATATATATTATATATAAAAGATTTGCTCTCAATTTGACAAGCATGAAAAGAAAAAAGGGGTGTAATTCCCGCAAACTTTAAATCGAACATCTTACAAACTACTCAACTATCTTAACCAACATTCTCTTATTCTGATTTCATTACGAGAGATAGATATTTAATATATCAATCCTATAGAATTACTACTATCATCATCATCATCATCATTAAATATTTGACTGATGAAAAATAAATACTAAGTTAAGCACTCGACTAAAATACCGAACATCCCCTTATTAACTAATATACTTCAACAAAAAGGAACAATATTGAATGTAAGATTAAATTAAAAAATCTCATCAAATATTCGCACAAAAATGTCCTCCGAAATATTAAATGAGACCAAAGGACAAATATAAATATTAATATATTAAAAAAGGTTAACGTGAATTTTGTGTGTGACGTATGTCGAACAATAAACTAAGGGAGGGAATTAACAGGAGGTGAAGGAATAATAATAATAATAATAATTATAGTAATAACAATAATGATGAATTCGAGAAAAGGTAGCAGCAGATTACAGCCGTCCAAGACTGATAGACTGATAATGGGAAGAGCCACGCAGACTCACACCCATTATCTCCATTATCAGTAACATATCAGTAACCTGTCAGTATTGTAATTGAATTGAATTGAATTATTAATTGATTGATTGATTGATTAATTGCTCGTACAAAGTAGCTAACGACTAATGCTGCATCAATCTCGGATTTTTTCATATTATTATTATACGAACGTCCATCATACATTATGCATTATTTTGTTGCGTGTTCTAGTTTTTGCTGCAAGAACTTTGATGTCGTTTCCAAGCATCCTTTCGACTGAACTGTTTATTACATACGTTACATTCGTGAACTCTCTCACCTTTGTGAATTCCGTTGACGTGGCGCTTAAGATCATGTTTTCTTGTGAATCTTGAACCACACCCCGGGAAATCACAAGAAAATGGTTTAATTCGATTTGGGTCGTGCGTTTGTTCATGTGTTTGCATATTGAATTTTCTTTGAAATCCACGACCACATTTGGTGCACACGAAATTTTTGCCATTAGTCTCATCAAGTTCTGAATCTCCGTCAACTTCCATGGAACCAGAGTCACTCTTTCTTCTTTTTCGAGGCGCCTCTTTATTTTGTTGACCCTCGTCCGGGCGAGGCCTAATTGGTACCGGACGAGGAGCTGCTTGATCTGGATGAAGAGTGTTTATGGCAGGAGTTTGTGGAGTTTTTGGACTCCCCACTCGTGCATCTTCCATTGCAGACAAATCCACATCTTGACCATTATTATAATTATTGTTTGTACTGTTAGTGCTGCTTTCTGCTGGCTCTGTGGAAGATTTTGATTTATCAATTGGAGGAAATGTCGATACCGAAGCCATGTTTGTGGTGATGCAATCGAGGTCAGCGAAAGTAAAATTCTTTGATCGCTTAGCTTTATTAGACGCGGATTGTTCGACGTTGGTATTTTCTTCCAGGTATGCTAAAGGAGCGGTATAGGGAGTGTTAACTGCAGTCGAAGGCTCAGTTAAAATGTCGGAGGAATAACTAGGAGTCTGATCAATTCTTGGTGAAGTTAAAGACAACGGTGCGAAGAAATTATTCGAATCAGTTGCTGAAGAGGAACCGAGATCAAGCTGAGTCTCTGGGATGTGCGGGATGGATGGACTATAAATTAAGTCCGGCGAGATGATAAGATTTTCTGTTAGTGAATGCGAATTGGGGCCCGATTTTCTTGCTGATACTCCTAATTGTTGAGAAGGTACAACTGGTGGATTCTGATGAAGATCAAATCTATTCAAAGATGGCGAAGTCGGGGTGCCGAGACTCGGTGATCCTGATAGGAATTGGAAATTTTTGATGCCTGTGATGGGAGTAGAAAAATCGTCGCCAATAGCACCTATAAATGGAGTTGTAGTGGCTGAATAAAAACCAGGCGAATTTTGATGATGAGAAAAACTATTTCTTTGAATCTGATGATAAACTGGGAAATTATCTCCCAAGTTATTTAAGTG